GATGGAAGAACTTACGGCGTTCGTCTCCAAGTCTTTCGACCAGAAAGTGAAGGAGAAGAAAGAGGCCATCACGTACCGGGAGGTGCTGGAGAGCGGGCCGCTGCGCGGGGCCAAGGAAGGGCCCGGCTGCGCTGAGCCGGGCCGCGAAGACCGCAGCAGTCCCGCAGTCCGGGCGGCCGGCGGAGGCGGTGGCGGCGGAGGAGGAGGCGGAGGCGGAGGAGGCGGAGGAGGTGTAGGAGGAGGAGCAGGCGGAGGAGCAGGAGGAGGGCGCTCTCCTGTCCGGGAGCTGGACATGGGCGCCGCCGAGAGAAGCAGGGAGCCCGGCAGCCCGCGGCTCACCGAGGGTAACGGCTCAACCCCGGCCCTGGTCCCCTTTCCTCGACTCTTCTCGGGCGGGAGAGGATCCTGAGGCCCCGGGAGGGGGGAGGGGGGACGCGGAGCCGGCCTTGGGACCCCAGCTTTGCAAGCTAGAGTGATGGCGGAAGGTGGGAGTCCAGGGGTGTGCACGGTCGTGGGTGGGGGCCGCGAGTGTGTGCGGGGTTTGCGCGCGCCCCTTCGCAGATGCCGCAGCTACTTCCATGCCACCGAAACGCATCTTTACCAGTTAGAGATGGGCCGTGGCGCGGACGACCCGCGGGTGGATGGGGAAGTTCTGGAGGCTGGGGTGCTGGCGGGGCTCTGGCTGCGGCCGGGTTAGGTCTAGCATCACCACCCAGTGTCGACAGGGCCATCCCCTGGGTTTGGGCCACAGCTCGAAAGCCCTCCGATTCCAAATAGACTGTGGGTCCTGGGGCCCAAACTTCCCATTCTCTTTAAACTGTAAAGGTAAAACGAGGTGTCGGCATGTTAGACTCTGGGCTGTGCTCCTTCTCCTGGACAACGCCTATAGATTCCTTTTTTATGGGGGCTTGTGTTTTCTATATTTGCACACTTCCTTGACTGCTTCGCTTCGTCCAGTACTGGTCTTGGGGGGGGGACGGGGGATCATTTGGTGTCAGCGAAATGATAGAAAGCAGGTTTATCTAAATGGTGGTACGTTCTGTACCAATTCAAAGGAGTTCAACAATAAAATTAATTTGCCACTTGGTGCCTGCAGTAACTGGTGTGCTGCCATATTTTTCCAATTAAGAAAATATGTGGCATGCGTAGAATCACATATTTAAGCAAGCAATTAAGTTGTTTATAACACGGTCTGTTCCTGTTTAGGCCAGTAAGTGGAAATTTGGGGGCAAAATAGAGAAGATATGAAGTCTGTTAATCGAACTGAAATTTGGATATCTTTCTGAAGCTGTAAAAGTTTGAAAGGCACTCATCCACACTGACTGACATGAAAGAGACAAAGCCATCTCACCCCTTTGACAGACTCTGAGGGGTCTGTTTTCATATTTAAATTTCACCACAAAACGTGTGGGAATATTTTTCTATTAAACTGGACCAGAATGTTTGGTATGGTGTCCACTTCCTTCCTGGACGAAGGGCAGATGTCCACAAAACGAATTCCGAGACCCAGAAGTGCAGGCAACACTTCAGATCACCACAACTTGAAGGCCAGGCAATGTTGAAATCTAGAGACTATTCTTCCCCACTAGACCTGGCAGCAGGTACTCCAAGATTTGGGAAGCAATGGCCTAACAGGAGTCCTGGGGCAGTCCTAAGCCCCTGTCCTGGATCTGCAGTCCCAAGCGTTGGCCTCAGGCTCTCCAGCACACCAGATTGAAGTTCAAGTCTGAACACACACACACACACACACACACACACAGCGAGAGGTCACAGTCCCTGGGAATGCTGACTTCCTAGCTTAGGGCAAATGTTACTTTGCAGACAGAACTTCATTTAGTAGGTTCTTCTGGACATTATTTCTTTTTTAAACACCCAATATGATAGAGATTGGGGGCTGAGAAGAACTGCAAAGGGTCTCTACTTATCCAAACTCAGCCTTGACACCTAAAAGTAGAGTCACTTACTTGGGTGCATGAAGAGGAAGGTTCTAAAGGGCAGTTTAAGCTGCTAGCCTCCAGGGCTCACTGCCCCTCGGTCTAAATAATAATAGACCCCTCCCGTGACTGACTTGCATGCCCACTCTCGCAGAGCTCCTCTTTTTAAGAGGAAGGACAGGAAAGTATCAACGGATGTGTGCAAACCCAGAGCAGAAGAAAAATGCATATTTTATTAAACATCCAAGCTGCATGAAAAGGCTTTGAGCAACCAATAGAAACCGAGGACCACGAATGTTCCGCTTGAACCTGTTGATCTCTGTGGGTTTAAGCATTTAGGGTCGAGCCTGCGTTTCCACAGGGGAGGAGGAGAAACTGAGCCGCGATCGGCTTCGCGGGCAAGCGAGGCTGGTTTTCCGCCTCTCGCCGGCTGGCCCGGCGTGAGCGGCGAGCCCTCCAGGCCGCCAACATGGCGTGGGCGCCAGTTCTGGGGCGGCCTGGCTCCGGGATGGGGGACGGGGACTGCTGGGTGGCCGGTAGGGCTGCCCGCGGGACTTGGCCGAAGCTTTGCGAAGGTGCAGGCTAGCCGGGGACGCGGTTCCCGGAACCGCACGGCACCCGGGATTCGCACCCTGGCCGCGACCCTGCGGCCCGATTGTTCCCAAATTAGACCAGCAAGTTTGCAAGCGGCAGGGTGGCGGCGGTGGCCACAGCTGACGGGAGAAGGGCCCAGCCCGCAGGGAAAGGCGGACTGGAGAGGCCGGAGCGTGGCCTCGCCGCGCCCTTCTGCCCCGACTGCGCTGGCACTGGCCGGGCGCGGCGCTTCCATTCCGGGGCTTGGTGGGAGAGTGGGCGCGCGAGAGGGTGAGTGGGCTGAGGCGGGCTCGGGTGGGGGGTGAGCAGGGCGCGACAGGGGGCCAGCGGAGCCGAGGCCACAGACTGCGAAAGGGGAAGTGAATGTCCACCCTGCCCTAGGTGGCCCCCCAGACTTGACCTTTGTGCTTCCTGAGGACCCTCATCCTCCTGGCGAGGGGAGGGGCTGGATGGGGCGGGAGGGAGGGAGCAGGATCTTCCCCTCCCCTTCTTTGAGACAAATCTGGTGACGGGATTTGTTGTGTGTGTGTGTGTGTGTGTGTGTGTGTGTGTGCACGCGTGCGCGTGAACGCATGTGTGGCCCCGTCCGTGGTTCCCTCTCCAGTGTCCCCGGAGCTGAAGGATCGCAAAGAGGATGCGAAAGGGATGGAGGACGAAGGTCAGACTAAAATCAAGCAGAGGCGAAGTCGGACCAATTTCACCCTGGAACAACTCAACGAGCTCGAGAGGCTGTTTGACGAGACCCACTACCCTGACGCCTTCATGCGCGAGGAGCTGAGCCAGCGGCTGGGCCTGTCCGAGGCCCGGGTGCAGGTACCGCGGGGAGGCAGCGGCCCGGCTGCCCAGGGACGGGAGGCCGTGTCTGCAGGTGGGGAGGCGACCCGGGGCGCTGGGTCCAGTGTCTGGTGTGAGGGGAGAAGAAAAGGGGTGTTCCATTTTCCACACTCCATGTGAGCCCTGTAGCCGTTTTTTTCCCCTCTCCCAACATGTGTTCCCAGCCGAAGAAAGCGGTGCCGGGCTTGCTCTCAGAGTTTCTATAAACCACACCCCCCTAGCCTAGCGTTGGCTTTAATGTGGTTTAATCTTAATGGGCCTACTTTTATAAGCCTTAAAAAAAAAAATCCCACAGAAAACGTTTTATCTCTGGATGCTTTAAAAGTTACAGCGGCTATTTTGCTTGTGAGAGTTGGGTTTCTTGAGGGTCTGCTTTGGGGTCTAGGTTTGCCAAGCGGATATGCCAATTAGGTTTATAGATGTACAGACTATAAAGTAAATTAGTAACTGTTAAGTGCAGAAATTTACAGTCTGCTGTTAGTGCTCGATCTCAAACTGCTGTGAAAAACAGTCAGAAGAATGAGTACATTTTGGTCACTCTTTGTTCTTGCCTTAACCAAGGCGATGAACCTGGACCTACAGAAACCAACCATGAAAGGCGAACCCAAGAAGCAAACATTAGTGCTAGCATTTTTAAAGTCTGACCCCGAGCAGGTGTCATACCCATTGAAGTTCAGATTAGAGTGAGTTTTCTTGTCATGGTGGTGAATAGAAGTAGGCTTTTTTTTTCCGGGGGGAGGGGGGGTGCATTTAAAAGATAGATAGATATATATACACACACATATACACACAACTCATATGTGTGTACACATGGATCCTTACAAGCTTATGGAGAACAAATTTAAATATTTCAGAGAGTATTTCCGCTCAAAAAATAAAGCAGGAGAAAATGATGGTCATTATTTGTTTGAACACATGGAGCAGTTTTAGGCCCCGAACATCTGCAGCTGTTACAAAGTATGGCTGTAACAGATACTCCCTGGGTCTCTGGGCACAGAGACCACCATCTGCAGCGAACTATGCACAATTCTTATGGGGCTTCCCCACATCTTGTAATAGGATCAGGACAGAAACAGAGCAGTCACATTGAAGGGGAAAAGTAATAAAAGGCTGCCTTGGTCATCATAGCTTGAACAGCACGGCTTTCCTTTTTAAGCCTCTCCTGCTTTGCTGTGGACACTGAGATCTCAAGAGACTCGCGGCCCCTTAAAGATGGATAATCATTATTATAGTTAAGAGAATTAGTATCTGGTTCCAACTCTTGTAGGGGAAAAAAGAGGCAAGAAGCCATGTGAGTTACACAAAGCTAGCAGCACCCTGGCACGGGGAGCAGGGGAAGGTTTGAAGATGTACTCTGATTTTGACACTTGGTTTCACAAACTTCCTGGAACTACCTACTACGTAGTATTTGTTCTTTGTAAATAATATGCTGTATTATATGAATGAACTATTGGAGCAAGTGATGTTTGACTTTTTTTTAATGTCAACTGCCTCTAAAAGTTGGCCAATTTGTTTTAAAAAGTAATATCTGGGAAAGGGCCCTATTCAGGAGTTACTTGATTTGCCCCTCTGTGTTCTTCTTCTTCTTTTTTGCTAAATAAACTTTATTATTTATCCCTAATTTTCATAGTTCTTTTTCTTCTTTCTCGAGGGGTGGTAGTATGTCAGAGTTATTTTCTGGATGCTTCTCTACCACCCTATCTGCAAACAAGGGCTTTTTCTATAGAAGCAAATTAGATTATCATGATAATAGCACAATTATTCTGCTACTGTGTTACACTCTGCTGCACTGACGAACAGAGAAATTCTAAACTTCTTTGTAGTGAGGCTTTTTATGATATTAATTATCTCTCCCTTGCTCCTAATGCCCACCCCCAAGAAAAACACCAGAATCATTATTTGCTTTGGTGTTTGGTTTTTCTTGAAGATGAAGCTAATTAATATTACAGTCTATTAATGAGCATTCTTTTCAGGTCTTACTGGGCAAACATCTAACCCATTATCATGTTGGTATCAGGTATCAGGGAGAGTTTTAGGCCTTGGGGACTCTGTAATGTGGAAAGATGAAACCAGGATTAATAGTAATTTATCAAGAAGCACTTTATCTTGCGAAAGTCTATGAAATCTTGTTTTTGTTATTTTTTTGAAATCTTGTTTATTTTTCTAGTTTATTGATACTTTTAACTTTGAAAGTTGAGACTGTTCAATATAATTGAAAGCTTGCTGTTGTTTAAAACACTACTCTTGTATTCTTGTAATTTTTAACTTAGGGGTCATAATATCTAGGTTTTATTTCCCCCTCCTTTGTAGGTTTGGTTTCAAAATCGAAGAGCTAAATGTAGAAAACAAGAAAACCAGCTCCATAAAGGTATGCTTCTCTTACAACGTTTATTTGATAGTCTAAATAAAATGAGAGTGGAAGAATTCTTTTTTTTTTTTTTGGAAGAATTCTTATTACAAAGACCAAACGAACTTCTAAAAAAATGGCCTTTGTCCTGAATTAAGAACATTTCTGAAGGAAATTAAGTCTTGTCCTAAGATTTGGGAGTAAATTATATGTGTTTTAATTATGGAATCAATTTAGAAAGTTAATAATGCAATTCCAAAGGAATTAATTTTAGCTTAGCATCATTTGGATCACTGAAAAACTATGGTATAGTTATTGACCTCTCATTACAGTATTTTGTTTCTCCCCCCCCCCCCAACCTCTGTTGCAGGTGTCCTCATAGGGGCTGCTAGCCAGTTTGAAGCTTGTAGAGTGGCACCCTATGTCAATGTAGGTGCTTTACGGATGCCATTTCAGCAGGCAAGTATAGCCTAGTTTCAATCCTTTTATGACTGTAAAGACTTGGAGATTTGCTTGAACATCCCCTCCTCTTTGAGTTCCAATGTTGGTATCTGAGCAGTTGGAGAATTGATTTTAAGATTAGATAGTGGATCCACCCCCCCTTTAAAAAGCCATACAGTGTCAGGGGCATATATGTTTAGTCCTTTCTGTCCTTATCAGAACCCTGAAGGGCCCTCCAGGCAGTAACTGGTCTTTTAAAAATGCACTAAAGATTGCACTTGGGAAGAGGAATGGGAAAAGGCCTTTGATTAAGATTTTGTCAGATCCATACAGAGGTTAGTCCTAAAGTTGTTTCTAAGGCAACCTTCTAAATATTTTTAAAAGGAATTTCCCACATCTTTGTGATAGTATATATCTCTGACATAAGAAGAATAAATAAATAAAAGTCCTCTCAACTCAGGCTCAATTTTTAAAAACTCTCTCTTTAAACAAAGCTTCAGGCTTGGTAAAGGGAAGTCTTGGCCTTCCCAAGACCACCCTACCTCCAAAATCCCTTTCTTAACCATAAAGAAACCTCTTAAAACTGCATTTTAAAAGGACAGCCTGCAGCCATGAATTAATCCAGAGAAATTCCAGGATTCTGAACTCCCTGCTATCCAAACCTGAGGGTATTGCCCTTTCCCATCTAATGCCTGGCCTTCCCAACCCTGTTGGGCACCATGGTGACATCTAGAGTTAGCACTCCATTGCCACTGCCCTTGTCTAGGAAGAAACCAGTGTTGAGGGTTAGTACTGGGGAGCTTTTAGTTGTCTTTGCTCCCTAGGACTCTGGCACCTTGGTGCTGGGCTTTTTAAGTGGGAAAAGAAGGGGGTTCCTTTAGGAGGAAGCCCTTATTATTCAGAAGGTGATCTTCCAGCCAGCAGTTTCATCACCACCTGAGAGACTGCAGAACCTGGAGCTACCATAACCCCAAACAAACCCAAACTCACTGCCTTTGACTCTTCTGACTCACAGAGGCCCTACCCTTCTGAATCAGTGTGCACTTTAACAAGTTCCCTAGGTAATCCTTAAGGCAGTAAAGGCGGAGAAGTACTAACAACTTTGCCAATTGTGGGGAAGATGTAATAACTTCTCTGAGTTCAGTGGAAAAGTTTTGTAGTTTGCTCCTCAGTGACTAGGGCTGTAAAACTGGGGAAGAGGGTGTATGATCAGAAATGGATCAATGGCTCCGGCCCTTAACTACCTTACCCCAGTAACTTGGAAGAGGGTTTTAGCATAATAATGTCCCCATTTCTTTGGCCCAGCTCCCTGGGATGGCCTAGTTCCTGAAGTGGGGAGGACTAGGCAGGGGTGTGGGGAGGAAGCGAATGGTCCTGGGTACCCAAAGATAAGCCCACACTAAAGTGTGAAGACCCAGGGCCACTGGACTATCCTATGGCGCCCAGATTCAGTAACAAGCTGAGAAGGTCACTCGCGGGGCAAGACACGCAGCCAAACGATCCTTTCCCACCCCCATCCCCAGTCCTCCCCCGAGTCAAGCTGGACGCCTTTAATGCTCTGTTTCTATTCTCGTTGTCACCCTAGGATAGTCATTGCAACGTGACGCCCTTGTCCTTTCAGGTTCAGGCGCAGCTGCAGCTGGACAGCGCCGTGGCGCACGCGCACCACCACCTGCACCCGCACCTGGCCGCGCACGCGCCCTACATGATGTTCCCGGCACCGCCCTTCGGACTGCCGCTCGCCACGCTGGC